TTCAGGATTTCTGAAGGCAAACCTGCCCTTCAGCGGCGCCCTCAGGCACAACCGCGCCCTTAACCCCAGGGCCTGCAGGTCCTGGGCTACAGCGGCGCCCTCCCGGGCCTCGGCCTCCGCCCCCTCCATGGAAACGTGGCCTCGTCGCGGGCGGCCCCCTGCCGGGAGGCCCCGCCCAGCAGTGGCGTGCGCACTGGCCGCGGCGTAACCCACCCGCAGCCTCTCGCGCCGACGGCCTTTTGCGTCCTCCCTGTTGCAGCGGGGACAGAACCCGCCCCCAGGCCCGCCCTCGCCGTATTTAGAAGCGCCGCCCTTTGGGTAGCTAATGAGGGCCCTGGACACGCTCCTGGCTCGGGAAGTCGGAGCGAAAATCCAGGATCCCGGCTGTCGCGACCAGCCAGCGGGTGTCGCCACTGCTGTAACGTAGAAGCACCTTCGGCTTTTTCCTCGGCCTCCCTCAGCTCTAGACCAAGTGTTCTTCCAGCTCCGCTCCAAATCCAGAAACGCACTTATTCCTTCCCTGCTTAAGATTGGAGTTAAGTCAGGAACTCAGAAAGTCCGTCTTATACCCCGTCTCCAACAGAGGCCCTCCTCATGGGTCACAGTGTGCCTGTCTCGCCTTCATCCCTCTGCCTCCCAAGCCTTGGAGAGAGGGAGCAGGTGCAGCCTACGCCCGTGATTGAGATGACACCCTGCGAGTCAGGCCAACAAGGGTTAGGATTTGACTCCACTGCTCACATGTGTCCCTGACAGATTCCTTTCTCACCTACAAGGGGATATTACCTTTTACAGTTGTGAGGGTTAGAGTCCTGTATGTAAATGCTTAGTAGAATAACATATATTGAGCATTTTCTGTGTGTCATTGGGCCAAGTACCTGAGGTTCAGAGAGGGTTTCAATTGAATGTGTGGTGGTGTCAGAACTCAAATTCAGATCATTCTAAAGTCCATGCTTTTAACTATTTAACCCACTACTACTGTTATTACTGCTACTGTTTTTGTTACTGTTGTTAAAATTGTTCCAGATTTAATCTTTTACCGACTCTTTTTTCTGATCTCCAGTAGTTCCTAGTTTAATTCTGCTGGAAGCAGAGGTGGGCTAGGTGTTGAGCCTCAGGCAAGAACAAAGGCCAGAATTTCCTCCTCAGGGGCACAGCCTATCCTTAATCTTGTTCCACCTTAGTCCTGTCTACCTCAAGAATGGGTATTCAGGAGGCCTTCTGTTAACCCTAATAAAACATTAAAAATTGCCCGAGCCAAAATCCTGGAGTCATAACCCTGACTTCTCTCTTTATAGCAAACCCCATATCTAAATTTGTGGACTCTACCTTCAAAACACTTCTCCCCCCCCTCCACTGCTCTCACCCCCAGGACCATCACATCAGCCTCCTCCTTACCTCCCTCCCCAGTGCCCAGTGTCTGTTCCCCAGAGGCAGAGGAACCTGT